GCCCCTAGGCATAATCTCCCCTGCTAGTCCCTCGCAGATATGCACCTGGATAATTTTCTCGAAGAGCTTCCCCAGGACCAAGGTAAGACTAACAGGCCTATAGTTTCCTGGGTCCTCCTTCCTCCCTTTGTTAAAAAATGGAGACCACATTGGCCCTTTTCCAGTCCTCTGCCTGTTCTTTTGTAATATCTTTCAGAGGATCCCAAGAATTAATGACATAGGCCTCCCAACATCCTTTATTTTGATAAGATTGTACCCATTTCACAGAAAAAGTAAACAGGCACAGAAAGTTTGAGTGAGATGTCACAGGTGTCCCTGCTAACAACATATTCTGTCATGCTTGCAGAGAGGAATTAGGCACTTTCAACTGGTAGATTATTTTACATATAGCAAAGTTTATGCAAGTATTTGAATTTTAAGAGTCTAACCCAGGGGTGGGCAAAATATGGCCTGCAGCTGCGTCTGGCCTACAGCAGGTTCCTCAGTCCCACTCAGCCCAGGCACCTGGGGCAGCTTGAGCCGTAATGCACATGGCCAGTCCCACCACCCCCAAGCGTGCAGTGGGGGTAGGGCAATGCAGTAGCTGAACTTGCTTCCCAGCAGCTCCCACAGTGGTGGCTTCTTCTTGCTGCTGCTGCCAGTTTCTGCTGCCACCGCAGAACTTGGCCTCACTGCTGGGGCACTCGGGCCTGTCTGCTCTGCACCCACTGCTGGGGTCATTAGATGTAGCAGGCAGGCAGGGTCTTCAAGGAGACCAGCCCAGGACCCGCTTGGGCAGGGCGCACTCAGTTGGGAGGATGGGATGGGGACACGTGTGGGCAAGAGCAGCATCCAGGAGCAGAACAGGTGAGTGGAACCAGGGCTGGGATTGGAATCACAGGGTGGTGACAGGGCCTCTTGTGCTAGGCATCCCTGCCTGCCAATGATCCCATCCCATCTGCCTGGCTGAGTATGCCCTGCTTGTGTGGGTCACAGGCTGGTCTCCATGAAGACCCTGGGATCACAGCAGTGACAGTGTGGGACCAGGGCCAGGGGCAGAACTGTGATCTGCTCTCTGCACACTCCTGCTCACAGAACTGGCACCTGTTGCAAGGGCGTGTGGGGAGTGGATCATGGCTCTGTCCCAGGCTATCACAATCCCGCGATCCTGATCCCAGCCCCAGCCCTGCCCACCACCCCTGGATGCCCCTCCCCACCTGTGGCCCCATCCCATTCACCTGGCTGAGCACAGGGCAGAGCCACTTAGGGAGTTTTGGTGAGCTGTTGTGGCCCATGGAGGGAGTGGTGGGGTGTGCTGATCTGGCCTGCAACAGGTCACTGGAACTCCCAAAGTGGCCCTCCAGCCCAAATAATTGCTGCCCCCCAATCTAGCCAGAGAAAACTTTGCAAGCTTAAGGGTCATAGAAATCCATAGACTGGCATTGCCACTGGACGGAAAGGGACACTGCATGTCAGATTGGGCCATAATTTTCTATAGAAGATCAAATTTCCACAAGAAAAGCGTAGGACAAGGAAAAGAAGGATATTATTTTACGGAAGAAACAGGTGTTGTTAAAATGCAGAGCAAAATCTCATAGCATCAGGTATCATTCAGCACTGGAACAGACAAACAATGAATTCTAATCCTGGATCTGATACTGACCTGTGTAGGAAGTCACGTGCAGCACTTCACTTGTCTGCCTGTTTCCTTTCTGTCCTTTGGCTTGTCTCTTTAGATTGTAGATTCTTTGGGGCAGATATTATGGCAATCACAATAGGCCCTGATCTCAGCTGGGGCCTCTAGGAGCTAAAATAATACAAATAATGATGGATTATTTAATTATAAAATGTATAGAGTGATCCTAGCTCAAAATGTACTAGCTAATCTGGTAGCTCATGGATCCCCAGATTTTGCTTTACAGACCTATTGGTATACTTCCTAGTGGTTCATGGGGAGCTGGCTATATCATGTCCTGTTTCCAGTTGCTCTTAGATTAACTAGACTTTTTTTTACAAAGCAAAAAAATTTCTGTAGACTGTTTCCATATTTAACTTACCTATTTGTTTTCTTTTTAATGTGTATTTACTGCATCCCAGGAAAAAGCCCTTGTAATTTTTTTCCAGTGATTTTACAATGCTAGCCATGGGGGAAATTAGGACTATCGATCGGTGCCTGGAAAAGAGTTAGCAAGAGCCTAATTAAAATGTGTATGGATAGGCCTGCCCTGCATAGATATATTTCAGCTAGCTCTAATCTAGCTAGCTCAGTATCAATAGCAAGGAAGCCACAGCAACATGGGCACCAGCTGCTGAGTTAGAATCAGGGTTTTTGATGGGCCTATGCCATGGCTTCATTGCTGTGGGTATCAAAACAAACTAGATTAAATGAATTTGGGTACATTGCACAAGCTGCGAGCATACCTGCCAAATGAAGTGTAAAATATGCTCTGAGATTCTGACAGGTATCATGACAACCGATCAGTCCTTCCCCTTGTCCCATGAGCTGAGGAACCATATGGTGAAATTCTAGTGAGTACACTTAAAATAAATACCATACACCCCTCCCCACTTTTAACAATCCCCAACAACAAATTGACTAAATTTATCATAGTAAACAGCCACTCTTAATGAACTTGAATCTAGATGCTGCAGAGGTTCCTTAGAACGGGACTGTGCTTTGTATCTGATGAACTGTTTTTCATGAAGGTTGTAGTCATCTAAAGGAATCATTTTATGTGCCTGTCATTGGGAGCCTGTGGTTTTCCCACTGAAGTATTATAGAATCTTGCTATTAATGTCAGACCCAAAGTCAAATTCTGCTTCTGGAACTTAGCTCTGTATATTTATATGCTGATTCCAGACAGGACTAATCATGACAGCTATGATAGGAATAATCAAATCTCATTTTCCAGTGCCTACAGTGAGTGACTGAAGGTGTTAAGGAATTATTTTTGCCAGCCCTACAATATCCTGATGGCTTTGCACAATTGGTTATATGCATCATACAGAATCTTCCTCCTAAGTATCAGATGCTGGCCACTGCCCAAAGCAACATCCCAGACTTGCTGAAGTGGGGATCTGATGGCTGTAGAAAATGGTGTGTTTTTCCCTTTGGAGTTGTACATCCACCAGGTACGAGACTGAACAACATCCAACTAGAGTTTGGTTGGCTAATCAGTGTTCTTCTGGTGGCTCCTTCATCCAAACTTTGTCCTCCAACAAAAACAGAGATGATTTAAAGTTAGGAGTAACTTTAATATCTTAACCTCTAAACTGAAATCCTAAATCAAGAGTCCTTTCCCATTAATCCCTGAATGTTCATACATTCTCCCATTGGACAATTTAGGGATTATGCTGGATAAAAGCTTTTCAAATCTCCTCATAAAGCAGAAACAGTTATGGAGGGATTATAGAAGGGTATGCGAGATACACAGCAGTCCATGGTGATCATTATGGCCCCAACCCTTGAAATGCTTAGGCATGCTTATGCATAACATTTGTTACAAGAGTAGGCCCATTGACATCAATGGGATTATTTATATGAACAAGATGACTGTTTCCTTGATTGGGGTTTATGAAGTTACAGTACCTTTCAAGCAGTAAATTTGCTGTTTGCTTCATTTCTTTAAAATGGAGAAAGCAGGAGCTCCTATTCATTCAGTTGTGGAAGTGAGAGAGTCTAAAGCACTTGAGTGAAATGTACTATTATTTGAGTGGAGAATTAAAAAAAAGCTTAAAATTATGAGCTGTGGTTATGTTCTCACTTAATAAGGTGTTAACTGACATTATGCTGTCTTTTGAGAGACTATGCCTGTAGGTTAATAGCTTCTGGCATTTTGTCTACTATAAATGAACTTTCAGAGAAGGAGAAATAGTCACTGTACTGTCTCAATAGATTTACACGTGTGAATTTTTTCATTTCTTATTTTTTAAAAGTAGGCAATTTTAACATAAATGGAAGCAGATTAATGTGGGTCCGCGCTGAGTACCTTGACTGTTTTTAAAAGAGATGATCGGGTACACCCTATCCTTGGCATGCAGCAGCCCTTTAATTTTCCTTATTACTCCCCTAATGCATGACCTAATCCCTGGGCTCTGGTGTATCAGGGTTTTAGAGGGGCACAGAGTGATCTTTAACACAGCAAGAGCGCAGCTGTGCCTGCTCAGGCAATAACTTTACAACTCACTGCACCTTGATTCTTGCTGTCCTAAGCAGGAAGTAGCTCTGGCCGACGGTCCTGCAGGATGAGTTCATTTTTCTGTAACTTGACTGCACGGCAGGAAGGTGCAGAAGGGGGTTGCCTGCAGCTCCCCGCTTCTGCCACTAGATGGCAAGCGAAGCGTTTTGAAACTCGACTGGCAGAGGTGGCAAACAGCTGGGCTCTGGGGAAATGCCTCGACGTGCCCCGTGTCAACCCAGCCGACCTGACTCTGATGTACATGCCCCCGCGTGGACGATGTGGCGGGCCCAATAACCACGAGCACGGCAAAACTCTGCACCTTCGCGAGGGCTCAGCAACCCGGGCCCGAAGCCCCTCTCGTGCCGCGGCTCTGCACGTGTGCGCGGCCGCACAGGTGAGGCGGGCTCCGCACGGGCCGCCCGCGCCGGGGCTCGAGGGGCC